AAAGAAACGAGGGTTTAGGAGTTAACATTTTGCTTAAAGAAAGAAAATGCTTGTTGAAGGATTGGAGGGGAGTTTTCCAGAAGTTGGGCAACGCGACAGAGACAAAATCAGGAAGAGAAATACAAGAAAGCTGGATCGGATCAGGAGACCCGCATCTAACTGACAGGAGCTCCAGGAGAGAGAGAAGATAGGAGGATTTATCAGGAAAATAATAAAAACATATAAAAACTTACTTACACGTAATAAAAGGAAAACGTCCAGAACACAGGGACACCGAAGCGCCAAGCAGCACAATGAGCGAGCGAAGCCCTCCTCCAGGCACGCCGTGAGGGGCGAGGACCAGGAGACAGGGCGGCTCGGAGAGCCTCGGAGAGCCCAGCCCCATGCAGGCACCCGCAGAGCCGCGCTGCCAGCTGGGAGGCAGAAGTGCCTTTAAAGTCCCGAGGGAGGAGGATTTCTCACCTGAAATTCTACATCGAGGCAATTATCAGTCCTATGAGTGCAGCACGAAACACGTACCAAACCTGGAAGTTCTCAAAACTCCACTCTCCCTCACATTCGTTCTCAGAAAGCTACTCAAGGACACGCTCCACCAACACCAGGGAGCGTTCCCAGGTCTTCCTGAGGGGGGAGAAGAGCGGTGACAGGAGGCAGGGTGTGCGCATGGACGATGGGCACAGGGTGGAGGTCAGGCCCAGGTGCAGGAGGGTCACCCAGAGCCATGGGCTTGTGTGAGGGACACGGGCGTACGGGCCTGGCAGAGTCTGAGGCGCGTTAGTAACCCCGATAGAAAATGAAGTGCACACACTCGACATGAAGCAGCCGCCGCCCCAGGGAAAGCAAGAAGTGGACGCGGCAGGGAATGCAATCAGCGTGCACTGACCACGGCCCGGCTGTGACCAGCCCTGACACGGCCCCATAACACAATCTGCGGCAACGCCACAGGGAGGGTGGGGTGAGTGGGAGGACCCAACCCGCACCTTCCGGCCATATGTCATCCAAAAGAGAGAAGTCAGGAAGCAGCAGTATAAGCAGTTTGAAGGAAGATCCCCACAGGGCTAAACAGCTGCAGCTGGCCGCCTCGGGGACGAAGGGACAAGACCGGAGGACGCTCCCTTTTCTCATAAACGGCGTGAGAACGACTTCACTTCAAAATCCCGTGTACTGCCCGGCGGGCGTGGCCCAGTGGTTGAGTGTTGACCTTGAACCAGGAGGTCACGGTTCGACTCCCGGTCAGGGCACATGCCCGGGTTGTGGGCTCGATCTCCAGTGTGGGGCCTGCAGGAGGCAGTCATCAATGATTCTCTCTCTTCATTGATGTTCTATCTCTTTCTCCCTCTCCCTTCCTCTCTGAAATCTATAAAAATAAAAAATAAATTAAAAAAATTTCCATTAAAAAGTCGTGTGTATTGACGGGTCTGATAAAAATTAACTGAATGGTTAAAAGAAACCCGTGCTCAGCTTCCATGCAGCCTGGGAGGCAGTGGCTCCGTGGGGGCCTGAAGCTGCAGAGGGGCCGCCCAGGACGGAAGCGCACGTCTGCACAGCGTGCGGGCCCCACACTTGCAGGAACCGGATGACTTGCTCAACCACAGCTTCCCGACAGGCAGAGCTGCCCTGACAGATGCCTGGGCCAACCCTGACACCGCCATTAGGACCGGCGCTCCCTCCCGAGGGCAGAGCAGTTCTCTCTGGGAAGCACGCAGGCTCCCAGCCCGCTCTGGACCACACTTGCCTCATCAGCAGATGCCAGATTCCTGATGGCCTCCATCAGACCCCACCTCTCGTTCCCAAAGGTCTTTAAAAAATCCACATGAACAGCAGAAGCAGGAGGGCCCCCACCACACAGACCCCTCCCGACAAGAGGGCGGGGGGGGGGGGGGTGCCTGTATGACTTTGGAAGGATTGGATTCTTTTATTTTCTGCCAAGAATGCATGGCTTTGTATAATTTTAAAACTGCTAAGCAAAGCACAGCCCACACCTCCATGCACACGCTGCCACCGTGCACGGCTCCAGCAGCCGCTCCACCTCGGAGGGGAAGAGCCTTAGGCACTGAGCCTAGCATCCAGGTGGGAACAGCAGGAGGAAGTATGGGAGCCGGTCAGGACTAGCATTCCGCCTTCCCGTGTGACGTCTGCCTTTCCTACTGAGACGGGGCCCGCCAGGAGGATAGGGTGCTGTGGTCCAACCCCAGCAGGTCCAGGGGTCCCCAAAGGTGTGGACGGAGTCGGCGAAGAAGGAATGACACGGAGACAGCCTTCAGTTGATCAGCAGCCTAGTCAGGACCTCTAGCCAGGATCTCCAGCCAAAGTTCTGGTCGGAGTTCTGGTTAGGAACTGATCAGGATCTGATGTTTATTGTCTTGTTACATCTATATTTATACCAGCCGATTTTAATCCTGTCAATTTCTATTACAAAGGTTAGGGCGTTTCTTATCTCCATTCCAGGGAGTAAAGATTATGTAGCTTAACTACCCGCCTGGCACTTAATTAAGGGGTTGTATCCCCTCCCTAACCTCGGGGAAAAATCCCCACCTGGGGAAACAACCTTTCTCGGAGAGGTGACCTTGGTTAAAACACATGGCGCTTAAGGAGAGCAAACATATTAAGAACAATATGCTATATATGCCAGGTCCCTTGAAACATATGCTGTGCAGATGTTTCTTTCCTGCAGCGACTGTGTCAAGCAGCAAGGATGGACCGGCTTCCGGCAATAGGGTACACGTCACTCCCATCACCGACACGGAACTGTACTGGCTCATGGGGAGGGCACGATCCCACTTTCCATGCCAGGAGAGCAGGAGCCGGAGGGGGCTCTGAGCCATCACTGCCGGTCACATGGCAGTTTTCCACCAAAATGGCCTTGAATCAAGCCAGGGGCGGTGGCAGGGAAAACAGATGCACCCGGCAGACAGCAAGCAGCACGGGGAAGGGCTCGTTCACGAGACGGCATACATGCATGTCTGCGCATACACGTGTGTGTATACATGTATATGTGTATCTATGCGCACCCGAGTTTCTGTGTTTGTGTGCATTGTATAGGTATGACATGTGTATATGAGCACCTGCACTTGCACACACACATGCACACACGTGTACATTCATGTATGTGTAAATCCCTGTATGCACGAGCATGTTTTGCATGTATGCACATCTGTGTGGTCATGTGTGCCTGCGTGGGCATGCACATGTGCACGTGTGTCCACATGCATGTGTGGTATATGCACTCTGTTCTGATCAGCATAAAAATTGTGCTGTGGTGTTGCATTCTTAGATGTGACCCGCAGACGGCAGGTGCCGTCTGGGTCTGTCCCACCCGCCTCATGCGGTGGCTTCCCTTCCTGGACCAGCTGTCTGGGACCATGGGGGTGAGTCACAGAGGGGACACCACCCACAACCACACACGAAGCGTCAGTGCTCCTGTCAGCAGCAGGATGCCAGCCAATGCTAACAGTGCCCTCACCAGAATTCCCAGGGACCCGTGAAAGGGGATCTGGGTGACAGTGGTGGACAGCTGCTCGGGCAGCCGAAAGGGCTTCTTGCCTTTGGGCTTGATACAAAAACAGGACGCTGAAGCCCTCCTCCCCCCCAGGCCACGTGGCGGGGACAGCAGAGGACACCACCTGCCCACCTCTTCCCCTCCCAGCCGGGAGCAGAGTGAGACAGCCGCCTAAGACCAGGCCCTCCCGATGCCATCCCCAGCCTGTCCCCACACCATGCTCCCCCTCCCGCCCCAGCCCTGGCTATGGTGCTGACGTCACCACCTCCAAGAAATGGCCTTGCCCCAGGAACCAGGATGGGTTTCAGGAGCTCTGTGTCCGAGGCCCACACCACGAGTTGTTTCAACTGCAGTCTCCCCAGAACAGAGCAGACCCCGGGAGCAGCACTCCAGCTGCGCGGGGGCGTGCCCAGTCCTGGACCCACTCTGCAGAAAATCACCCAGGACACGGTCCCGGGACACCTGCTCCCCTCCAGCCACCTCGAGGGGCAAACAAGCCAGTCAGGACGCCCAGCACACCTCAACCAGGTCCCTCACCCCAATCTGGCACGTGTGAGCCGTGAGTGCTGAGGGGAGCTGGGAAGGGGACAGAGGGCAGCAGCTGAGGGACGGACACACACAGTGACCACTCAACCATGAATCGATCAGCAGTGTGACGGGCAGGCGCTGAGAAGGGCATAAGCAGGGGGTTACCCGGGGCAGCGGGACCCTCCTGGCCCTGTAAGCTAACAGGCGTGGCATGCAAGATTCAAAGACAAATGATCTGGGGAGAAAACAGGAAAAAACCCTGGGATCATAAATGCCGGGGCTGGGAATTCCTAGTTAACGCAGCGACCTAACAGCGGTCAGAAACCCTGGAGGGCCCAGCACACCAGCCGGTAACAGAAGGCGTGTGTCTGTGACCAGCCACTTAACAGACAGCGCCAAGCGCCCAGGAGTAAGGTGCATCTCGACCGCCCACCGAACTGGCACGGGCTGTGCCCCGCGTGCACGGCCAATACCCGGCCCTGTGGCGGCCCGGCCCCGTGGGGCTTTCCTTTCGTTTTCACAAATTAAACTGGCATTTCTCTTTCCTCCACAACTGAAAACACATGGGTGACCACGTATTAACTGACCAAAATGAAAACCAATCACAAACGACCCCGATCCAGGGGTGACACTGAGAAACCTCTTCCGGCCCCGGCCCTCACAGACGACCCCTACGCTCCCCGTGAGAAGGTGGCCCATGTCAGGGCTCAGACCAGGGGCTGCCGGCTCAGCGAGCAGGGCACAGCACAGGCCGGGAGCGCGTCGGAGGGAGGAAAAGCAGGCGATGCACGGAGGTCCAGGTGCCCAGCACCCACTGCCCTCTGGGCTCCACCTCAAGCCACCCCAGGCAGGTCAGCTTTTCGCCCCCCGGAGCGCGCAGGGACCAACAACCAACTTGCTGCTGACTCAGGTGAGGCTTCCATAGGTGTCAGCTCTGACAGACTGGATATAGATTGAGAAAAAAATGATGTACCTGTATCCTGTGGGTCTCGGAACTTGCCAGTCGTCTAGGAGGAAGTCTTCAGAAAGCGTTGCCCTGGAAATAATGGGAAATGAGAACATTTAATCACTCAGATGGTCTGTCCACACAAACTCAGCATCCGTTCTGAAACACCACTAGAAAGAAACCTGTGATATTTTTTTAACTTCTGGACCCTCTGGCAGCTGACTCGGACCCAGGATCAGGGTGCCATTCGTGCACTTGTGCAAACAGGAGGGAGTGAGTGTGCAATCACTCACCCACAAACACAGGACACACGAGTCGGCTGGTCACCCAGGTAGAGGAGCTGGTCCCCAATGGCTGACAGCCACCACTCCACGATGAGCCACGGTCACGGTCATTCATCAGAAAAGGAATCCCTGACCTGTCTACTGGCTGCAGAGCCAGCGGCAGCTCTCCCCTTCCCTGAAGCCGAAAGGCAGGAGGCAATGCAGGAGAAAGCAAAGACACGGACACAGCATTCACAAGGCGATGACTTCCTAAAGAGCCTGCGGTTCCCACCCTCCCGCTGTGCTGCTGTCTGTGAACAGGAGGGTCTCGCACTGTCCCCGAGCCCGTGCAGGGTCCGACGCCTGGCGGCCGGTGAAACTGGTCTGACCCCCGATGGCAGCAAACGATCCCACAGATTTTTTAAACTTCAGAATCAAACTCTAGCGTTTTTTGTAGTTGGAGCATAGCTTTCCTTTGCCTTAAGAGCTTATCCAGTGGTTCTCAACCTTCCTAATGCTGTGACCCTTTAATACAGTTCCTCATGTTGTGGTGACCCCCAATTTCATTGTTACAAACTGAACATAATTAAAGCATAGTGATTAATCACAAAAACAATATGTAATTATATATGTGTTTTCCGATGGTCTTAGGCGACCCCTGTGAAAGGGTCATTCGACCCCCAAAGGGGCCGCGACCCACAGGTTGAGAACCTCTGGCTTATACGATTCTTGCTGTTTGTCCAAAGACAAGTGAGAAGTGGGGGTGCTCCCCAGGAGCACGCTGGTGCCCCATCTTTCCCTCCCAGCCCCGAGGAGTGGGACCAAACACGCTCACCAGCTTACACCCCACTCTTACACGTCCACCCACAGCACACAATTTCCAGGGTCACCCGGGGCCTGACATGCTCCCTGAATCCTGAGAAAACACCTCGAGTTAGCAAATGAGACCCCAAAGTGCCAGGTGGAAATGGGTAGGACCTGTCAGGACCCGTCTGGCCTCCCTGCAGGGTGGCTGCCCCTGACGGCCACCTGTCAGCGAAGCAGCCTTGACCCGGGCAAGCAGGGAGCTGCCTGGACAAGGCCACGCCACTCAGCACACGGACGCTGTCTTCTATTTAAACGCCGGGGAGGCGCTGGCTTAGCGGATGGACACGTGGGAACCTGAGAAACCGTGGAGTTTTCCTGTCCCACAGGCCGGTGTGGCCCGGCAGCCACCTGGAGACGGCCGGAAACGCTTATGGGAAAAGGGTGACTCATGCACAGAGAAGAGGTGTAGATAAGCAACACGGATACCCAGAATTATAAAGAGAAACCCAGAATTATAAAGAGAAAAACGCCTCTTCTGGAAGTTCAGTAAGCCTTTGCCGTTTTAATAAGTAAAAGCCCACGCTGCTTGTTCTGTGGTTGGACAAGCACGCATCCTAGTCACCATAACTTCACGGAGATGAACACACGGCGACAGGTTAGGGGTCTGTACTCTCAACCTCACTCAGAGCACTGGCCCGGCACCCTCGTTTCCTCCTTCGAGCAAGTCCCCGTCCCTCCCCTGGCCAGGCAGCTCTGGCCCCGTGGTTCCCGGGTAAAAATACACACTTCCGGCCTCAGCCAACCACGGAGGCCTTGGCCCCCACTGTCTGCAGCCTTCATCACCACAATTTTTCTTCTTCCTCAAGGTAACCCACGAGCTACAATTAGTTATCACCACATTAGAGACTGCAAAGTACATATTCCTCATGCAACCACTACCATGGAGTTTTCGCTAGGCTTTTCGTAACTTCTTATCATGGCATCTAAAAAAGAATGCAGGGGTCTATTTGCAAAATAAAGGAATGAAATTAAATCAGAAAGAAATATTTCCCTCTTGGGCCTGAGAAACATGCCTTTGTCCCTGCACCAGGCCCCAGCAGAGCAGGGGAGTGGGGAGCCCCAACGCCCACACCTGGCGGCCACTCCTGACAACAGCCCGGGGAAGCTTGCCTTTGCCTTAGGGGCATCTTGCCCGAGTTCTGCAGCGGTGACCGCCCCTTCTGAGGGCCCCTTACCCCAGCGGTAGCCAGGTCTTCGCTTTAGCAGGAGAGAAGGCACAGGTGGGATGGGGCCAGAGCACGGGGCTCTGCGGTGGGAATGACCTGGGTTATGGGCCTGGCTTCCATTGACCAGCTGTGTGTTCTTGGGGAAGTTCCTGGGCCTCTCTGTGCTAATTTCCTTATCAAGAAAGTGGGCATAATAACTGCCATGACACCAGGAGGCCAGCACCTGCTGCCGACCGAGGCAGGAGGCTAGGCAGGACCTTTTTAACTGTGCCAGTTCCTGCAAGTCTGCGTGTGATGTCATCCGTGTGTCCAAGGCTCCCACGCATGATTTCATGGCTGCATGATGTTCCAATTAAACTTGACAATGTTGGAATTCAGATCACTGCCAATTTACAATGTAAAATTCATGTTAAAGATGGATTTTAACCACCGCAAAACAACCAAGCAGCTTTCAATCTAGAATGCAGAGCCTATTGCAGAAGTCTGGGGTCACCCAAGGACTCCGCAGATGGTGGGGAGGCTCTGTCCTTGGGGACAGGCTCAGCACCGTAACTCGTCACAGTGACAGCTCTGCTCCCTTCTGCTGGGGTTTGTCCTACAACTTCCAGGACTATGTTCATGTGACCTTCTTCTAAGTTTTTCTAGTTAGTTGGGCTATTTTTGAAAAGGCACACACATATGTTGCCTGCTATAAAGCACAATCAAGTGATGTAGCACGAACATATTCTATACTTATTTCAAGTCAATTCAATGCTCAAGTTCAGTTTGTGTTTATTCTCCCCCTAACAGGGGAGGCAGCAAAGTGTCCTGGCCAGATGTGGGCTCTGAGGCCAGCCTGCCCTGGCTCAGGTCCGGGGCTGCCCCTTCCTAGCTGTGTGACCTAGAACAGGTCACTGCTCCTTCACCGCCCCCAACTAC